ACTTTGTGAATAGGAGATGATGTCATGGTCGTACGGGTTGCCGGTCAGGTAGGCGCCAGTGGCCTAATGACACGCAATACCTTCATTTTTCGGTAACCACTGAAATGTAGGGGAGACAGTGGATGTTGAATTGAAGTTATTTACATCGTATGCCGTTTTGCCGAGCTCTTTCGCGGAGTAAAACCATGTTACGATGTAATTCAGTCTACTCGAGTTGTCCCCTGACTTTAGTTCGCAGATTCGATTGGAATTCCAAACTGAATCCAAGCTCAGATATGTGTCACATCGCCTGGGTCATTGTAGCTCCTAGCAAGCCACGGTGATCTAGCGGTTAGAACGCTGGCCTCGTAATCCTGGGGTCTCGGGTTCGATTCCCGGCGGTGCCCGAATTTATAACTTGTGTTGGGCAAGGCCGTGGTCTAGGCAACACGGAGTTTTCCTCCGTGGCATCCCAACAATTACTTCATTCACACACAGAAGAAGGCAATGGCAAACCACTTCTGGATCATCTGCCAAGAACGTATATGAACATGTCCCAGTCCGAGAAAAGGATGGAAGGATCCTGTTCATATGGACCTGTCGTCAGACAGAACACTAAATAATAATATAATTGTAGGTCTTTGTGCAAAGTGCTCGTTATTGGTCGATTTTAACCAAAATTATACCATTTGAAGCCTCTGCTCAGATCTTGTGTATAATATTTGAGAATTCTGTCCGTACCGAAAAGAAAACACCGTTTCATTCAGATGGTTAACGCTGTTTTAAGGACGTAATCCCGGTTTACACTGAGAATCGTATGAAATCTAGAAGTACAAAATGCTGGTTTACCGATTGGTAAAGTAGGTGGTACATATGTTTACCACTGGGCTTTAAAATTTTAACTTTCCAGAGACGAAATTTCTTACGTCTCGTCTCTTGTTTGATTTTTATTTCTGAGTCTGTGCCCAAATTTATAACCAGAAATGCATGTTTTGCAGAGAGACGGCCAGAAATGTGGAGTGCATTACATGAAAATGAAAGTTATATCAAGTGTAATGACGAAGCTAAACGTGGTTTATTGGCGGAAAATCCGTACGATTTGATGCAGTACTTGAGTCATGAGCCTTAATATATCTTGTCTGATGCGTTGCAAAAGGTATTTCTCTCTCCATAAATTTTAAAGAAGGCGATCTAGTGTGCTAATAATGTCTACTGTCGTATGAAATCCGTTGGCCAACAATTTGAAACAAAAGAACAGCGCCTGTTTATCGATTCTCTTATGTTTTTCGTGCTCGAAGCTAATTGTTGGGACTGCCTCCAGAGGGCTACGGTTTCGTTACACAAGGCGCGTGGTAATACGAGTTAAGTGTTTCTCGCCTGTGCAGGTTGGATCGAAAAACGTGAACTTCAAGTGTTTTCAGGACCCAGAAAATGGTTCGAGCAGATAACCAAAAATATTGCTCATATGGAATTCTCGAAGGATTTGGGAAGTATCCGTCATTCACATAACACATTTCTGTGTACTTCATCGAGTATTTCTTCGGGGTCCCGAGTTCAAATCTCGTCTAGGACACCGACATCCTGACGAGGTTTTTCGTGGTTTTTCAGTCCCTCCAGGAACTAGTCAGCTCATTGCGTATAAAATAGTTCGCCACTGGACTCTATCCTGAACCAGATGATACATTTAACTTCCTCTCTACATGTTTCTTAAAGAGTCGTTTTAATATTATCCCCCACCCAAGGAAAAATATTCCAAGGGGTATCCTGCCTCTAGTATTTCCGACCAAAACTTGCACTTTCCGGGATAATACCACACATTACGCCATTACCGTAATTCATTATTAAATCTCTTAATCAACGCTATTAAATTATAATACAAATAATAAAATAAATTAGGATACGTATAGACGCCGACCCACTTATAAACAACTATAAAAATTCTTTAATCAGTCAGAACTTTTCTGTTCTAACCTGTAAATGAGTAATGTTATTTTGTTACGTTGGTATCGTGCTGGGGAGATTGACGTGTTCTTATCGACGTAACGTCTGTTCTGTGTCGCATAAATAGATGAAGACTGAGGAGGTTTTACGATATTATGAGATTTTGGGGCTTTTGCGACACTGAAAATGTTTATGGGCTATTATATTTGCGACACTGAAAATGTTTATGGGCTTGTGGATAGGAAGTACTGCCCTGAAGATGGAGGCGATTTATTGATCCGAAACGTTGGAAATAACCTATAAGATTAGTTGGCGTCACAGACTAGAAGACCAAAATCTGTACTAGACGTCATTGTTTGTAAGTGGGTGTGTTAGGAGCATTATCGATGTTTTATTGCGAGAAAAAGTGTGGAATTTATAAGGTGGATTCTGGATAATGTTTTGTGGATCTTTGGATGAAATCGATGAAAATAAGTGTCATGAGGTTTCAGTTTTTCGGATGATTATTATTATTTTTTAAATTTTATTACATTGTTAGTCCATAGAGTTGGGTGAGGACGTGTTGAACATTTTATGCTATTTAATATTTATTTACGAATCACGAGGTTCTCGAGATGCGAGTGTCCGCAAATGTTCACAGAACAGTGGAGATCAGGGTGGGTAACATAATTTTTCGCGTTGTTTTGGTATGGTTTTGAGACATTGTTAAGTCTGAAAAAGCGCTCAGTAAAGTTTCTGCCTTAACGAGCATGATTTGATCAGCTTAGGATGTTAAGTAAGGAAGAACATCGTTGTTTATGCAAGTATTGCGGAATACTGAGGTGGTATGAGCCTGTAACCAGGATGGATGATGAAAGTAATGCTCTCAGAATGTTGATGGGGAAACCTTTTCTAAAACGGCGTCTTAATAGCCCGATGAGATGGTATGGTGATATTAAAACTAAGTTGGCAAACTCTGCTAGACTGCACGGCGCTATAAGACAGAAGACGGTCTCGTTAGTATTAAAATCGATTGTAGGAAAGTCGATTTGGAATCGTATCGAAATAGTGCAGATATTGTCGTCATACATATCGATGTAAATCATGTGAAATGTCGAGAGTTGTATGGATTTTCTTGTGGTCGCCATGTTTGATGTTATAGATTCCGATACATCAAGCGAGTAGCTATTTATTATTTTGATTTATGAATTGACTGGAGCTTAGCTTTTAGGGAATTAAACTGAAGAATCATCTCCCCGTTTGTAAATATCACGGACTCGACTGAATATTTAATGTTAAGTGTTATTTCACAAACAAATAACTGCATTTTTATACTAGTAACTTTAGTAATTTATACGCTTCATCTTTGCTATTATGTTGTGAAGAGAACAGATTATGAAGTGTCTGTGAGATTTCACGTTTTCTCTGCGACGAATATGAAGATGGCTGTCTTCTGGGATGTTGCGATCATCACCCTGATGATGGAGGCAGAAATGACGTCTGAAACGTCGGTCAATTTCTGCTAGAATATACATGGCGCAAGGTTTCAGAAGATAGCCATCTTGTTATGAAGTTTCTCATCTTGTAATTTTCTTTCGTCTCTGTGAGTTAATCCCATTAAGGTCTCAGAATCGGGGAAATCGTAGTATTGTATAATTTAATGAAGGGTTTTAGACGGGAGGAGGGAGGATTCTTTGCTGAATGACCGTAAGTCGTCTACAGAGTTTCTCCAGATACACATTAATTAAATGAGGTTCAGAGCACGAAGCTGTCGTAACTGAGTTGCTCCTTGGGTCATGGTTGACGAAGTACAGCCCGCGGGCAGTGTAGACTCCGAGGAATTCAGCAAAAGAAGTCGCGAAGAATGCCACGGCAGTGTACCCATTAAGTACCGTAATTGATCGTGTTTTCAGGCCACACGTTTTCTCCCGCTTACCGCCCGGACATTTAGTCTCCCAAATTAAGAACTCTGTAATCGACACATTTCGTCAAACCCCGCGCCCTGTAATGGAACCACGGATGATGATTTGGGCACATCGGGAAGGCGACCTAAAACCTTAAGGGAAGAGACCTGTTTGTATAAGGGTGGACAGTGAATTAAGTCTGTAATCCTGGGGTCCCGGGTTCGATTCCCGGCGGTGCCCGAATTTATAACTTGTGTTGGGCAAGGCCGTGGTCTAGGCAACACGGAGTTTTCCTCCGTGGCATCCCAACAATTACTCCATTCACACACAGAAGAAGGCAATGGCAAACCACTTCTGGATCATCTGCCAAGAACGTATATGAACAGGTCCCAGTCCGAGAAAAGGATGGAAGGATCCTGTTCATATGGACCTGTCGTCACACGGAACACTAAATAATAATAATAAATGTAGAGTAAAGCCATTCCAAATGAAAGTTAACTTGTCTCCCTGATGATGGAGGCAGGAAGGACCTCAGAAACGTCGGTAAGCTTCCACCAGACTACACAGCGCAACAACCCAGACGACAGCCATCTACGGACTCACCGCTGTGAAAACCTCAGATCCTACTTACCAACGTAAATTTATCGTGACGAAAGTACGCCTTCTATTCGTATGTAGCGAAATACGAAAATGCAGTTGTAAATTATTGTTTGCGTCATAGGAGCAAACTTTTCAACAAGAAAGATAATTTTTGTCAGTCGCGCACGAAAGCAAAGAATAAGTTACCAATGACCAACCTTCCCAGCATTAAATTTACCTGAATACGACATTTATAACTTCTGAAACGTTTCACTTATATCTGAGAGGCTGGTCAATGTTTGGAATAACGAAACAACCAGTCACAAACCTCTAAATCAGTGGTATTCAACCTGGGGTACGCGAAGACATCTTAGGGGGTACGTGAAATTTAAAAAAAAATATTATTTTATGATAAACACTGAATAATCAGTAATGTAATTTATTTAATTTATTTTAGATGTAGATTATATACTATGTATAACTTGAATTATACACCAACAACTTTGGGGGTACAAAGTTGGAAGAGAAATTATATCTGGGGGTACGCGAACAAAAAAGGTTGAATACCACTGGCCTAGACTACGGCCTTGCCCAACACAAGTAATAAATTCGCGTACCCCCGGGGGTATGCGAATTTATTAGCACAAAAGTTGGAGTCATGTTGTCTTCGCCCAACGTGTTTCGGTTTGCATATTTGCGTATTGTATCAGGGACTTAACAACCACAACAAGCTATAACCTTGTACATGTAGGTTCTAAAATATTGAAAGATACACCATAAAATATAAAAAACCAAATTCTGTCTTGCATCACTGCCTTAGGTTTGATCACAGTTATATATAATTCAACTTTAAATTGTAATTAAACTACTTACATTGTTCCGAACGTAATCTGTATTGTCGCTAGGGGGAATTTTCGATCTCTCTTAATATTGAAAGATACACCATAAAATATAAAAAACCAAATTCTGTCTTGCATCACTGCCTTAGGTTTGATCACAGTTATATATAATTCAACTTTAAATTGTAATTAAACTACTTACATTGTTCCGAACGTAATCTGTATTGTCGCTAGGGGGAATTTTCGATCTCTCTTCGGTTGTTCTATCGGTCCACATGTTTCGAACTTTCTTCATCTGCTGTTCATTTAGTCTTGCATCACTGCCTTAGGTTTGATCACAGTTATATATAATTCAACTTTAAATTGTAATTAAACTACTTACATTGTTCCGAACGTAATCTGTATTGTCGCTAGGGGGAATTTTCGATCTCTCTTCGGTTGTTCTATCGGTCCACATGTTTCGAACTTTCTTCATCTGCTGTTCATTTAGTAATCGTGCGTTTTTCACTGTTTAAACCTCGTTTTTGTGATGATGGGGGCACGATTTCAATACGAACAGCTGTTCGGTTGGCGAACTAGTGGAATGGATGGAGAATAATCCGGCCCGGGTCGTCGGAGCTCCTTTCCTCTCTCAACTGTCCTCGGAGGTAGTTGACTAGAGACTGAAGCTGCCGAGCTCGACGTTGATCTTGAAATGGTAACTCCGGCTAACTGATGAAAGTGGGAGAAGGGATTTTCCGTCAATAACCTTGAATGTACAATGAAGATAACTAGGAGGCCTTTCTAGTTCGCGGGAAAAATTTTTTGTGATGATATTTGCAAATCTGGTAACTGCGGTGGTCTAGCGGTTAGAACGCTGGCCTTGTAATCCTGGGGTCTCGGGTTCGATTCCCGGCGGTGCCCGAATTTATAACTTGTGTTGGGCAAGGCCGTGGTCTAGGCAACACGGAGTTTTCCTCCGTGGCATCCTAACAATTACTCCATTCACACACAGAAGAAGGCAATGGCAAACCACTTCTGGATCATCTGCCAAGAACGTATATGAACAGGTCCCAGTCCGAGAAAAGGATGGAAGGATCCTGTTCATATGGACCTGTCGTCAGACAGAACACTAAATAATAATAATTTGCAAATCGCGGCGTACGTACCTCGATTTTTCGAGGTTGCCCTGCGCAGGCGCGCGGACTAATATCAGTCTGATGTAGATATAATGCCACACAGAGTGTACTTCGACTGTAATTTTCGCAATTATCTTAAGTCACACTGACAGCTCTGAAACGGTAAAGCCATTGTCATCCCTTTAAACACTAACAGTAATATTTTGATGTTTATTTATCATAAAGTTTTATATGGAATGTCTTGTTTCGTGTGATTTTCGGTTCCCCTAACCCCCCCGCCCCGCCCCAAATGCTGGGAAATGGCCCTAATGCAAGTCTCGATATCTTCCAACGTTCTGATTCATCACCAATCCACACATCGTCACTTTGCATCAACGCGTTAAATCTGAAAATAAAAGTAGTTTTTCGGGATTTAAATATTTATTATATATAAGAACAGTTGGTTAGGTGGAAGTCTCGGCTGTTTGCATGTTGGAAGTTCTCGATTCGTATCCCACTCGAGTCATTCGTGATTTTTTTCTGAATGTGTGCTATCCTGTGTAGGTAGAAGCATTGCGACGGGCTGATCCCCCGCGCAGGGGATCGTACCTAATGTCAAAGTGGATTAATAATTTTAAAATTATGAATTGCAACATTATAAGGCCAAATCCTTACGCGAGGAAGGAGAAGAGATATGTAATTCGGTTCAATTTCGCAGAATTTTAGTATTCACTGAATAAAATTGCATTTAAACAATTAACATTTCTTTCGCGTACGTCTGGAATTTCTTAATTCGGGTACAGCCGCCCTCTGGATTGCTCGTTGCAGCTGACAGAACGTGTTCCATTGGACGTGATTTTATATGTGATGTCGTCATCAGGAGTCACGTTATGGCAGGTTCAATGTCATTCGGAAGGAGACGAGGGACCAGGGGTAACCAAAAGCCTTCCAGAACGCTGCCGCTGCATTCAGCTCACTGCAGAATTTATTTTCTTCAAAACTGAAAGAGGGATTACATTTCGCTTTTTTTTTTTACAAAGTCTGCGACGTTTCGGAGGTGCTTGCTACCTCCATGTTCAGGGCGATAAGTTACTCATCCCCCTGATGATAGAGGCAGTAAGGACCTCTGAAACGTCGATAAACTTCTACCAGATTCTTAATACGCTATGTGAAACAGTGTTTAATCAAATTTCTCGCAAATAAAAGAACACTGGGAAAATTATGTTTTTAGTGTTGGTATCTTTTGGAGAATCGAGTACGAACATAATTTTATTCAAGGGAAGTAACAGCTCTGTGTATGTTTCGCGAAAATCTATTCACGTGTTACTAGGTCAACCGATGGATTTGCATAAAATTGCACTTTTCCGTACAAGAATTGAAATATTTGGCATACGACGGAATCTTTGTAGGAGGTCTTC